TAAGACTGTATTTGGTTTACTTCCATCATATCTGTTTTTCTAATAATTTTTTATTCCACATGTTTTCCTGATAATTATCTTTCCATTTCTAAAACATTGAGTCCATGTATTTCTATTAAAAAAATAAAATGATGCCATCCTATCATCCAGCCATTTCCCTTTGGTCTACTGTGGGGGGCACAGCTCTGTGCCCCCCAGGAGGGAAGGTTGCTGGTCATTTATGAGCACAGTCCGCAGACACATCTGGCTGTCAGCCCTCTCAGGGTCTGCCACTGCCCCATAGGCCATGGCCTCCCTGGGGCTGCACACAGCCCGTGACTGGATGACAAGGGAGCACCCCCATCCTGAGTTGGCCCTGGCTCTGTGGGTCCTCCATGGAGGCCTTGGCTTCTTCCTCTGCTTGCCCAGCGTGCCTCCTCGGCTGCCTCCTCCTTTCGCAGGTTGTATTAGTCTCCAAACTGCATGGATTTAAATGACATAAATTTATCCACTCACAGTTGTGGAAGCTAAAAGCCCCAAATCAAGGCGTTGTCAGCAGGACCCTGCTCTCCTTGAGGCTCTGGACAGAATCCTTCCTTTCCCCTTCCAGCTTAGCTTCTAGGGGTGGCCATGGATACTTACTGCTCCTCTGCATGCAGCTGCACCACTCCAACCTCTGCTTCTGTCGTCTCCCTGTGTCTCTGTCCTCACGTGGCACTTCCTTCTTCTTACATGGACACATCACGTTGGATCGGCGCCCACCCCAACGACCACCTTTTAACTTGACTACATCTGCAAAGACCCTATTTCCAAACAAGCCACGTTAATGGGAACTGGGGGTTAGGAATTCAACGTATTTTGCGGGACACAATTCAACTCATGCCACAGGTACCGATGCTAAAAACATCTTGCACCCAAAACTCTGGTCCAGTGCTTGCTTCTGGAGAGCCCAACCCATGACATCTCTTCTCTTCCTCATCGCCAAGAGGAGATACATGGAATATTTTTACTCTCACAGCTCTTCTTAATGAACAATTTATAGTTCATGGCCACATAAGTATCATTTATTTCAACTTGACCGTTAAGTTTTACGAGGTTCGTTGCTCAGTGTTTCTTTGGCTCTTCATCTCCCGCTACCCGGAACACTTTTGTTTTGATTCAGTTTCCATTTGGCTGGAGAACTTCTCAAGTAGTTTTCTCAGGAGTGGCACATAGATGGTCCATTCTGTGTCATTCCATGTCCAGAAATCTCTCTCTTTTGTTCTCATATATAACTAGATTTTTTGGATTCCTGGCTCCCAGTCCTTCTTTCATCTCTGTTGATGTGGCATTGCCGTCTCCTTGCTTCCTGGATTACAGATGAGTAGTTTCATGCTAGTCAGATGCTCCTGTTCTGGTAACTTTGTGGTTTTCTTTCTTGAAACCTATGAGAGGTTTCTCTCTTAACACATAGTTCAAAAAGTCCATAAGGAAAGGTATGTCCTTTTTTATCCATCCTGCTCAATAAAGGGAAACTGACAAGAAGCTATTACACAGAAGGGTGATGACTTAAACCATGAATAATATTTAGGCTGTCAAGCTGAGGAATGAACAAACTGCATATCCCTCAGGAGGTGTTCTATGAATACTACTTCTCATAACCAAACTTTTCCTAAGAATTGGACTAGGCAGCACTCAAAGTTTTAGTTTCTGGCAAGAGCCTGGAATGCAAAATTTCTAATGGCCAAGTAAGGGCATGATCGTAAGACTCAAGTCTCCTTAGGAAATGTGTTAAGATATAACCTGACACAAGACTCCCAGTTGGAACTTATTTTCTTAAATTATTTCTGTCATTAAACAGAGACAATTTATGGTGTCATATGGCTAGATTGTTGAGACACCAGCTCCGTTAACAATAATACAAGCCAAGCAATGAAAATTTTTTTGACTATTAATTTCTTATCTGTCCTTTCTGGTTATTTGGTATCTGGATTCTGTTCATTTAAAAAATAAATAATTTACACTATTTCATAGCCTTCTACATGTCTATGCTTTCATTCGAGTGGAGGAAAGACATTTTCACTTACAGAGCAACAACTCTGCTGTGTGAGGTACTGTCACATACATGATTTCATTGACTCCTGCGATGAATCCCTTGGCATTCTCCCATTTAGCTTCTGCTATTTTGACACATGTAATTGAGCGTCCTATAACATCCATGGGGTGCAGTCATTTTTAATTTTGCCGAGGTTTTTCCTGTGAGGTTGGTTTGTAGAAGAGAAGCCCTTAGTGAGTGACCTGCAGTCCCTCCATCTCAGCCGGGCTCTGCTGTTCTCTATCCCAGTGCTAAGCATCAGAAGCAGCGAGGAGCTTTTTGAAAACTCAGGTTTTCGGGCCATGCGCCAAAGCAACGAATCACCGCTCCTTCGTGGTAGGGCTAGGGAACCAGTATTTTCAGCATGCTCCAAGGGCTTGGGAGCATCTGAGCTACTTTGAGCAGTAAAGCCAATTGAAATGTTTTATCACTTCAAGAGGGTTGTCAGGGGCCAGGAGGGAACCCAGAATGCATTCTAGGTGTGTTCAAGAAAGGGAATTTAAGACATGGAATTAGTTATAAAAGTGATGGGTGAGCTGAAAAGCTAAGCAAAAGATGGTGACAAAATGCAGAGATTAACATCAGCACACCAGGGGCTAGAGGTACACCAAGAGGAGGGGGTGTGACCAGGCCTCAAAAGCTGGAGTATCACTGGGGCCAGAACACCCTGGTGAAGGCTAACTGGAAGAGGCAGGAACTACAGACAGAAGGGGGATATCTGGAGGCACGGAAGATGGTCACTGTTGGGGATACTGCCCGAAAGAGGGGGAAGATACCCTAGATTCTCGCTTACCCCTCAAACACCAACCCCTGTCTGTGACTCCCAGGGGCCAGCCTACTCAAAACCACGTTGACATGGGGAGCCTGAGAAGTGCATCCTGTATGAACGCTGCCCTGTGATACAGAACAGGAGAAGAGTGAGGGATTTTGAGGACAAGCAGGCCAATGATGGGCCACAGCATGAGATATAAAAGTATGAACGTGGGAAAGCAGCTATGAGCTGATGATACGCACAAGAAACATGATTCCTGAAGGAAACGTGGACTGACTAGTCACTAGTTACCCAACTAAGCAGGCCAACCTGTAGATGCAAGAGGGGAGGGGCACCAGCCACCAGTCCTTACTGATCTTCCCATAAAACCACCATTTCATTCAACACAGATGAAGCAAAGCAACAAGGACCAACGGGAAGAGCAACAAACAGGCCTTCGAAGGTTTGGGGTTTAC